AAGGCAGTTTTACATCAGACATCATGCTATGTCTTGACTGAAGCGAACGTGCTACTAAGAACTACTTCTCCTGTGACTAGACTAGGACTATCCTTTGCTTGGGAAATCAACCATGGGCTGTAGACGGAAACCTGCGGGGGGTGGCAATTGTTTGGGTGCTGTTCTCCGTTCAGAAGTTGGCGGAGAAGTTACTCCGTTTTAGCTTGGGGCTTCAGCCCCTTAAAGGTTTTGGACATTCGACACAGGCTGCCGAGAGCCGCCGAAACGCCGGGGTCCTGGACAGCGGAACGGCCACTGCGCTGAGATTTTGCAAGGTTCACTGATGTCGGTTGGATTGTTTTTTGAGGTGACCTTTTCTTTTTAATTGTAAACGCTGCACGTTGCCCGCCTCGGCCCAGCTGAGCACGCAGCGTGTGTGGTTCGACTGCAAGCAGCAGGGCTGGTCAAGTGGCGATTCAGGGGTGGACAGGTTCTGGCGTCGTTGGACCAGTTTTCCGAGGCAAGGGCAAGGCGATGCATAGGACTAGGAGTGAGTCATGGAGCCAAGAGTCGGTGCGTGCTGGGGCAGTGGATGCCATGGGCGGAAGTTGCGCAGAAAGTCCCGACAACCAAAGCAGAGCTGTGGCGACCAACGCGCGCAGCAATCTTGATCGACTGTGTTGGCGTGAGGTTTTAGCAAGGGATCGCGAGTGCATTCGAGCCAGAATGGGAATCCCGCGCGCGGGGCAGTCTTGATCGGCTGTTGGGGGCTTGCTTGGGCGGGCTGCTGGTTGGGCAGGGGCCTTTCTTGGGTGGGTCTGGTTGGGCTGGGCCTGCTTGGGTTGCTTTCAGACACATCAGACAGGGGTCATGCTTTTCAAAAAAGGCGATCGCTAGAAGATTTGGCCCTCCGCCTCCGGACAGATCTTGGGCCGGCAGACAGGGGTGGGGCCCCAAGCAATTTTGCGCAGGGAAGGGCAGGGAAGGGGCCGAGGCGAATTTACAAGGATAGCTGGAGTTCAATCATAGTACAGTGCGACGATTTCATTGTAAGGCGGCATAGTTAGGATATGACTCCGAAATACCTTTCGCTTGTTTGGCTCAACGCGTCCCAGGCTTTGCTGCGTTCTTCGCACGACTTACAACATGATGTTCCTTGCAGGCATTGCCCGGGAAAACGCTTGAAGACGTTTAAAACCCAACACCGCAATCGAACATTGTGCAAAAGCGAGATCGCCACAATCGCCGTAACTTCTCACCACCAGAGGATGCGCCTTGTGATTTTGGTGCCAGTTTAGTGGCATTTCAGTTGTTGGGTGCTGCTTGGGGCAGTTCTTCTGGTAATTTGGAAAGTCACTCAGGTGCTATTACGTGCGAGGCTGAAGGCTATCCAGAAGGCCATCTCTGTTGCCGAAGCTTCTTGGCAGATGGTGTGCTGGAAGGGCGTGTGTGTTGCAGTTCCGTGGAGACCATTCTTTTTCTTTGGAGGGCTCTTGTTGCGTCCCTGCGATAGAGTGCGCCGTGTTGCACCGGTGCAGCGGTTCGCCGGCGTCCCAAGCCAGCCCAAGGTGGCTGCTCGATGTTCAGAAGGGCGTGGCTTTTCCTGTAACTCGAAGGCCCGGGCGGACGAGACACGCGTGAGGACTGCTAGATCCGAATGCATGGACGGTCAATCAGCTATTGCGACTGGCAGGGGAGCAGGGTTCTCCGGGTGTCTCCAATGCAAGTGTGGGACTCACAGCGCAGACAGTACAAAACACCATAGACCCGAAACAACAGCGCAGACAGACTGTGAATAGACCAGGGAAATGACCAGACAGAGGAAGCGCTTTTTGGCTGCATTCTTGCGGCAAACGTTTTTTGCCCTTTGATGAAGCATGTCGGATTTTTGTTGTATTTTTCCGGCATTGCCTTAGCTCCGGGATTAACGTGAGCCCGGCTCCGGCAAGCTGGGGTCGTTGCGCGATGTGCTAGCCAGGTTTGCGTTCAACACTTAGCACCCGTTTGGGTTGCTTGATCAAATGAAACGTAACGGAAAGGATTTGAAGGGGTTTCTAGTTCTGTCGCATGTTCGTGATTCCATATTGTTTTCAAGACGCCACCTTGCGTAAACTGCGACATGTTGAGCAGGTGAACCTGCTCGGCATGCGGGAGGACTGAGGGGACATTGGCGCCTGGTCATAGCGGGCTGACGCGGGTCTCTTTTTGGGAGAGGGGCCCTGAGTTGGATAACGCGAGTTTAGTTGGATAACTTCTAGAGCGACTTGCAAGTCACCGTAGAATCGCTCCGCAGGAGGGCCCCGCCAGACGAGACGGGATTCAGGCGCGAGCTGAGTGAAGAGAGGAAGCGCCCTCCGGAGATTCTTCAACCGCAATTACTCCGGAGATTCTTCAACCGCAATTAAGCAGGGCCTTATTTTTCGTTTGTGGCTGGGGACTCTGTATTGAGTACCACCTCCTAACGCATTCTCAAGGCTGTAGTTTGAACACATGGACGAACTGACAGACGACCCCAAACGCTGCTGCAAGTAGGCCAGCTACACGATGCAACACACACAAGATGATGGTTGTCAAAGGGCTTGCTACTTATTTGTAGTTAAGTAGTGGCAGGCTATTTTGCTGTTCTCTCATGTAGGTTGGGCCAGGGCTGCTTGAAGATCTGAACTATCACGGGAAGCATGTGCTGGCAGCCCAAATCGTTTGAAGTAGGTACTCTTGAATCTTTGTCCCGTCCTGCCACCCTGAAACCAACTGGCAATTGATGGGTTAGGCTTCCTGTCGGGGTTTCCCCTCTTTGAGTGGCTCTTTTCGAGAGTGCAGCTGACCGCGGCGAGCAACATCATCAAAAACCCAACATGTTTGAAGGCGACGGCTCCGAAAACACCAAGGCGACTAGCGCAACCGTGACCAACTAGTTTGCTAGCTGGCCTGTAAGATAGTTCAGTAGATATATAGCTGGCTAGTTCACCAGCTGATCTACAAATGGTCCAAGTGTGAGGCAGGCGTCAACGTGCAAAACTACATCATTTGGCTAACTGCGTGACAATTTCGCCAATGCCCCCAACAAAGCATTAAGCGAAGCAGGTCCCAAACTTCGTCTCCACAACATAATCACCACTGGTCGGGCGATCGCCCGAAACTGCAAATTCTTGAGGCGACCGCCTCAAGCGTGACGTCCTTCTGCAGCTGTGGCTCACCAACAATCATCGAGTTTTGAGCGTTGTGAGCTGCTTCGGTGGGCAGAGCTGTGGTGAGTGCCGGCGCGCCCACAGTTGCCTCCCAACCCGCTCGGCGCGCGCCTCCTTGTTGACGATCTGCGCCGTTGAGCAAGAGAGCGCGATGATGTGGAAGTCGCCGAACTTGCCCGCGTCAAGAGTCTAAAAACGTCCACTCTGGAGCCAATCTCCTGGCTCGCGTTGGCCACGTAGGCCGTGAGCGTATTGCCTTCGTCGCTAGCCAGCAAGTTGGACAAGTCAGCCATCAAGATATCCAGATAACTGAGCCAACTGGCCTAATGAGCAGCAAGATAGCAAACTAGACAACTAGGCGAGCGCGCCAACTAGCTAGCTAGCTAGCTAATTTGCTTGACTCTCCGTGCGCGCTTGAAGAAAGACGCAAGCAAAGGTGCAGATGTGTGCCAGGCATGCGCGCGTTGACTAAGAGCCACAGGTTATTGTTGCATTCTTTGTCAATCTTCCGCCCTTGCCGCGGTGGTGTCAGTCTTAAAGTGGCGCCTGCCAGATAGAGATCCGCTTGGCCTTCAGCAAGGCGGGCCCAGAGGTTGACGCAATCGTAGCATCACATCGGCTATTTCGCGCGGGCTTAATAGCCTGTTTGTTATTCTTGCCCATCCCTGAGACGAGTGCGGGGTCAGGATCTTTGGCAGCGGACGGAGAAGCTGGACTTGGAAGCCACAGGGCGAGCGGAAGCGCAAAAAAGGGTTTGAAACCCCTCGCGTGCGCGCGGAGAGATCATTTCTGCTGTCCTGTCCCGCGACTTGCGCACCAGGGTTTGCAATGTGACTGCAGGCATAGCCAGCACGAAAGCGGTTCCAGTCCATGCGCAGGTCAAGAAAGACTTTGACCGACTGCGGGAAGACTATGAGGACAGCAGAAAGGCTGTTCACATCCTCAACGAGGCCGATTTGCAGCCCCGTCCCGTGAAGGATCAGAAGGCATGTAAGGCCAACGCGCGTGCTGATTTTCCTTGCTTTGTTTGTCACCAGCGCCAATTGGTTTGTGTGTGTGTTGACTATGACTTGTGTGTGTGTTGATTTGTGTGTGCTTGAGCTTACGTGTGGATCTGCCAGGTATGGCAACAAAAGTGGCCTGTTGGGCTTTTCTCTCCATTTCCCAGTGAAACTCCCGAGACGGGGCTCCAGCATTTTGATGCAAAAGCGATCAGTATCAGCTGAGATGTGGCCAACAGTTGAATGTAGCGCTTGCAGCAATGGCTGAGCCCGCCACAAATCCAGCCCAGCATCTGAACGGGCTCGGCCGCGCGGGCTCAATGCCAATGCCATGGCGTGGCTCCGTCAGGGCCAACGCGGAGCTCAGCCTGGGCTCCACACAGACCAGGAGAGAATTATCAAGTCTAGCCCGACCAAGTGCCACGACTTGCAGGACTTGCGTACACTGCTGCCAGCAGCGCGTTGGGTCGCCGATCCTGCTGGGATGAGGCCTTTGTGTCGGCCCTCTTGAATGCTCAGTTCGGGCGACGCGAAGCACAATTGTGAAAATCTGTTGGTTTGCATGCCGTGTCAAATGTCTTGCGCGCCACCCTTCCTTCCACTGCAACATTCAGGATCAACTGCTGAGCAACACGCATGCCCCAAGGAATACCAAGATGGCGCAGCTGGCAGCCATGTCATCAGGCGCTTAGCGCCCCGCAGGTGACAGGAATCCCCTACGAATAAGCTTGCTGAAGAGTTGGCTGTTGCGCTGTTGCCTCAGCAGAATATGCAGAACTTACGCCCCGCAAGTTGGGACACGACACCTCTGAACATGGTGAAACAGAACCAGTCTCTTTCTCCAGGAAATTGCAGCTCTTAGTTCGGGTCCCATGGCGGGGGAGCAGCTGGCGCGGGTGACCAAGAGCCTGGAGGTTTTGGAGGCGTTGGGTTTCATGTGTGTTTCTAGGATCCCAAGAAGGAGTCATAGTTGCAATAGCTTATTCAGACATCCACACATTTTTTAGGTTTTTGTTTGAGCCAGTCAGAGGTCCAGCAGTGGTTGAAACTGGCCGACTTAGGCTTTGCTGAGCTCTGTTGGGCGGGGTGGGCTTGGGCTCGGGCAAATGGCCTTCTTTGTCGCGCAGGGCAGCAAGTCTAGCCTAGATAGACAACTAGAGCCAGCGTGTTAGCTGATAAATGCGGTCCTGGCTTTCGTGCGTGATATGGAGTCCAGCAAGCGCGCAGCAGAGCGAGTTTTTTAAGCTTAGTCTCTCGTGCGCGTTTGCTCTTCGCCAGTATCTGTGAAATTTGCTCAAGTGCTCTGTCCAAGTTACTTTGCGCAAGTGCGCTGCGGCAGTATGCTGGGCGAGTGCTCTGTGCAAGTTGCTCTGTGCAAGTGTGCTGCGCAAGTGTGCTGTGCAAGTTGCTCTGTGCAAGGCTGTTTCGCGCAAGTTGCTCTGTCTTTGAAAGTTGCTCTGCGCGAGTGCTCTGCGCAAGTTGCTCTGTGCAAGTTGCTCTGTGGAAGTGGTCTTTGCAAGTTGCCCCGCGCGCGAAAGGACTCCAGCTTTTGCACAAAAACACGCGCTTTTTGCACCTCGGCGAACCCCCGCAAAGGCGCGTGCCGATCCCTGCAGGGTCGTGCGGGGCACCTCGAAAAGTGGGACAAGTCCACAGTTTGCGAAGTTTGCGCGCATCCGTATCCGCAGAAGGCCGCGCCGGCACTTCAACAAGCAGAATAAGTTCGTTTTTTTACTCGCCGCGCCCCGCAGAGTCACGCAGAAATCGGCGAACAGCTCCAGGTTTTGCACATCGCTGACCTTCGCAGAGGTAGAAAACGTCGCCAGGTTTTCGCGTCGGCCATGCCAATTTCCCCACAGCGCAGGAGCCGCAAAAGTAGTTCTTCGCACATCCACCACGCCGATCTTTGCGCAGGGTCGCGCAAGAACCGCAAGAGGTAGAAAACGGCCCCATTTTGTGAAGACCGACCGCGCCAATTCCCGCAAAGGGTTTCGCGAGAACAGCAATAGCAATAGTGCTTAGTTTGTTCAAGTTGATCGCGCCGATCCCCGGAGGGGCGGCATTTTTCGCGAAGCGGGCTCGGCCCCGCCTTATAAGATAACTTGAACCTTTTGTGCAAGTTTTCTCGCGTCTTGGCAAATTCTAGCGGGCCCTGGTGAATGGACGCTTAACTTGTGCCACTTACGTTCTCCTTACTCTTGCCAAATGCTATAGGCATGATGGGCAAGCTGAGGCTCACAGTCAGTGTTGCCTACACAAGGGGTATGTGCAAGGTGAATGCAAGTGGGACAAACCAACCCATTCACAAGAACCCATTAGATTCGGCCTCGACCGTGCAAGTGTCGTGCAAGTGTGCCGCGCAAGCTTGCTCCTGCAAGTGTGAGAGTGCTTGCCTCCGTGCCAAAGTGCAAGGTGCCAATCCAACGACGCGCGTTGGGCAAGGCGGAGAAGCGACCGTCTGCTCTCGCCGCTCCAAAATCAGCAGCAACGCCCGCTTTGCAGCAAGATGCGGCTGCATGCCCAGCTACAAATTCTGAGCAAAATGCAAAAGGTTTGTAGGAATTCGATGAAAGCACGACGGACACCGTTGGACGCTTTCTACTGGCGACTCTGGTTCGATATGGTTGTCTTCGGCTTCGGCAGGGAGTTCAGCCGGGACTTAGCGAGAATTCGGCCGCGATGCGGCGCATCTGAGTGGGGTCTGCAACCCTTTACACCCCGGAATCTTGCCTACGTACGTTCTTCTGGGCCTGACCAAAGGTCCAACTCGTTTCAGCCTCTTGCTTGCAGGTCAGACCCAAACCCTTTAAGCCTCTTGCTTGCAGGTCCAGCCCCTTGCAACAACTTGGCGACTTGGCATCCATTGCGCAGCATGTCCTATCTGCCTGCCGGTTGCGGCATAGGCTTCTGACACCTCCCTTTTTCAGTAAGAATACGACGGCGCATGTCGGCCCCTTAAATCCGGTGCAACGGCAGGCTGGACCTGTAGGCAAGGAGCTGAAAAGAGTCGGATGAAACCTGCGCTGAAGGGACTGAAAAGAGTTGGAATTGACCTCTAAGCAAGGGGCTGAAAAGATTCGCAAACAAGAGCCCCCAAAGAGTCGGATTTGACACGCAAACAATAGGCGAGCCGCAGGAGGCCGGCCGCACGATGCAGCGGAGGTCTCATTCCGTTACGACATAGACGTTTATGCGACGACGAACGTCTACAAGCCCTATGTGTTGGAAAGTGATGTTGGCAAAGAGACCTGGGCCCACGTGGACCTCGAGCGGTTGTGTGGGAGGCAGGGAGGCAGTTTGTGATGCGGCAGCAAATTCTCTTTGGCGAAGCCACGCGAGCGATGCGCAAGTTGCGTACTCGTTGTGCTCGCTTGTCATCCCACCACCGATTTGCATGAATCTCTGTGCGCGACAAGGCGGCCTGAGATCACAACCTGCGACTGCTGGCCAAACGGGTGTCACGGTTGTGGCCAGACGAGCACGGATAATGAATCTCAAGCCGCCGCGCCAGCGAATCGCCCCAGGGGCGCCACAGCTGCGGTGAATTTTTGGTCTTGCCACAGCTGTGACAAAGTGTGGTTCGACAATTGAGCGGTCCGGGTTTTGGCGCACCAGCGCGTGCAGCGTCCAAGACTCTCAGACTTTCAGGGCCAACGCTTGCAAAAGGTTCAATCGGTTTGCGACGCGCTCAGTGTGATTGTTGCTCTTTCCTATTCCAGGCACACGCCGCGGGCGCAACATGTAGAAGGAGCTGGCAGCGATCTAGTCAAAGAAGGTGGTTGTGATGGCAGCAGGCTTTGAAGCCAGCCAAGGGCGCTCTTGAACTCGCTCTGGCCAGCAAAAACGTTTCATGGCCGCTGGAACGGCCGAGCGCTCAGGAGTTTGTAGCTGCGATCGTTGCTAAGGGGCTTGCAGCACGGGGGCCTGCGCTCTTGACTTCAGACGCGAACATGGGCCGCAACAAGAACTCGCAGTCAGCAGCTGTCAAGAACGGCCAGGCTGTTGGCTGCGCGCTGCCTAATAATGGCTGCACATAGCAATTATTCGGAACCCATGGCCCGTGAAACTCACAGCAAGTCGCCAAGTGAAGCAACTGGATGTTGCCTTTTGGTCCGATTGAAAACGAAATCAAGCAACGCAAAACTCCAGAGCTCAGGAACTTCGAGGATTTTATCTTTAAAGGTGACAGGCGCCGCCTCTTCCAAGTGTCCGAGGGCGTTCGCATCAGCGCTTAATGTTACGTACAGCCGAAATTCTTTTTGAGTCAAAACAGCAGCGGCGCAGCCCAACAGTTGAACTCATTCATGTCGCGTTGCTGCACGCCTGCGTGCCTGCTGGCTGGATGGCGCGCCGTCCGTCACGGAAGTTTTACTTGCTTTCGCACTCACTGCCAAGCGTCGCACCGCATTGGGCCTGCGCAACAGTTAGTGATTGATTAAGCGTGGCCTCCGCTGCGCAACAGTGCCCTGCAAGCGATGCGGTGCAGCGTTGGCCACACAGCTCCGCTGCGTCGCACGCTGCAGCGTTCGTCCCAAAAGAGCAACAAGTTGGCTCCAAGGGCATCGTTGCGACAGACAGTGAGCCAGCTGTGTAGACAGACAAGGGTAGGCGCCAATGAGTGTCAGAGACTGTTCGAGCTATCCATCAAAAACAGGCTGAGCAAGGAGGCAAGCCTTCCAACGAGCGTCTGCGATCTGTACGTGACACCAGCGTCATAGCGCCTTCCTGGGATTCTGTGTTATGAGCTGCCGCGCACAGCTTCCGGCGCGGCTAGCTCTTCTTCGAGCTCTTCCTGGCTCGCGAACAATGTCTCTGTCATCTGCGCCTGCGTCCACTTGTGACACACAGGCCTTCGCATCACATCGCCAGCTCAACACGCTGCTGCAGCCACCAAGCCTACTTGAAGCGCACGTGCCGCAACTTATAGGGCGCCATCATTGCAGTGCCAGCCACATAACATGGACGCCCCCCAAAATATAGGGAACTCAGATCTCATCCGTAGCAAACAGCATGAACTGAATTTCGCAAGCTTGGCCCCAACTTAACCGCCAGTCGACCAAGATATGATCCGAGAATCTCCTTGGTCGCAACACAATCAATCGCCAGTAAGCCCTTGGTGTGTCCGTTTCTTTGGCTTGATCATCTTCCTGACAAGGAACGCGTAGGAGACAGTTATGCAGGGCTGATTCGGAGAGCTCCGTCGCAGCGACAGCGGACAGAACCGGCATGAGGAGGACAACGAGGCGCGCCGACAAATTTGAAAAAGCTGAGGCCGCCTGGGCCTGGGCTGACTGACCCAACGCTGGCCCATTCTTGCCCAAGATGTCATCTGGAAAGGCTGTGCGTGTCCATCGTGCTACAGGCGCCACGGATTGATAAATTGCGCTGCGCCAGGCGTTTGCGCGGCTCAGTCGTGTAACAATTTTAGTTGGTTCCGAATTTCCGCTTTTCTGCCACCGTCGTGTTCATGGATCAAAGGACGAAACATGGATCAGGAAACAAGGCGGGTTCTTGGATGTCTGCGCGATACTCTTGTGTTGTACAGGCTCTGCCGTGGGAGGAGATGCAGTTGCCGAAAAGGCAGGCATGAAACTCGCCAGGAAAAGCGTGAGCGACTTGATTGCGCAAGGGTCGATTGACCTGGAAGATGACGCACAGGGAACAGCGAAGCAGCTCTGTCACGCCTGTGGCTTTGATGACATGAAGAGTGGGAGCTCTACGCGTGGAAGCTCACAATTCCGGGGCAACCTACCATTTGGCTGTTACAGCGAGCCAATTAGCAAGGTGACCGCCCTCATGTTGGAAGCCGACCGCCCTGAGCGGCTGCCTTAGCAGCTGCTGCGCAGCAATTTCAGGCCAGGCAAGCCAAGCAAAGCTCTGCCCGTTGTATCGTGTTATTGCCTGTGAACTTGCGCGAAAAGAGAGCTGAGACTGCAGCCGCCGCGCGTCTCAGCGGATGAGTTTGACACTTCTGGAACCGAAACGTTGTTCGACAGCGAACAGTCTTTGATAGCGACTGCAGGTTTGCCGCGGGCTTGCCGGCCTTGTCGCGGCCTGGAAAGTTGCCCAATGGCACGGCCGCGCAAGGCTGCGCTAGGTTTGAGTTGCTTGGCAGGCGCAGCGTTTTCGCAAGGTCACGTGCAGATTTCGTGTCAGGCGCAGCGTTTTGTTCTCATGGGCATCGGGACTCGTGACAGGCGCGCGCTTTGGGAAGGTAAGCTGTGCGACCTGCGGATCGCACTGCAACAGTGCCGCGGCGTGCGACGCTGCGAAGATGAGCAGTGCGAAGTGTCAGTTCTCGCGCCAGCGCAGAGTGCCACTGCCAGTGCGGCAGTCTCGAAACCATGAAATTGGTTTCTTTGGCACCCAGTTTTGCTGGAGCATACTGGTACTCTTGTGGCCAACTTTGGTCCCTTGCTTGCTGCGGCGGTGGTCTTGGTTGGGAAGACACATGCGAAACAGACGCAGGAGGAGCTGAAGAGCCTGGCAGACATGGCAGGGTCCCTGGAGCCCAGGGAGGCCAAGGAAAGCGCTCGGCAGGCGCTGCAGAGCTTGCAGGCCCTGGAAAACGACCTCCAAGCCACGCGGGAAGGCCGAGCTAGAACCAAGGGCTCGGGGAAAACTGGATCTTTGACATTTTTGGTTATTTGAAGATGCGGCGCTGCAAGCGCGTCCAAGCTGGGGTTTGTGGCAAGTTGGGCAAGTGCTGTTGGCAACCCTTCAGGAAGCTGCAAGCGAAGACGGTTGACCAACTTATGTCAGATTGTGAAAGCGCAAAAGCGTCTCGAGCTATTAGCTGGCCATTCAGGCGAATTTTCTTAGCTAGCACTGTTGTCTGCTTTCTCAGCTTGCGTTCTTGGATGTTCTTTTGGGAAAATACTGCCATGCAACTTCCAGCATCCTTAACCCTGGTCCGACCTCTTGGTGAGGCGCTAGCGGGGCCGACCCGGCGCAGTGCCAGTCGCTGACCAAACGTCTGGCGGACGCGAGCGCCAAGGCCTCAAGGTTGCGGGCCACGGCCTCCAACAAGCACGCACAGGTTATGGAGCCCCTCCGCGCCGAGGCAGGTGTTTTTCTTTGGGCAGGGAAAGCGGGAAGAGGCCGGATGTGTTGCACGGAATGCCGTCAAAACCACTTTGGTTGAGTTAGCGTCCGGCGTTTCACCGATGTTGAGGAAACACGCAAGGCCATGGCAAAACAGTTATGTTTGCACCTTTTTCTGGGGCACGCCTTCGAGTGACTCCGGCCTTGACAAGGCTGCCGTTTGTTCCATTTTGGAGGAGTTGTTCCAAATCCACCCTTAGTCCCAATGTGGCAGCGGGCGCCCAACTGCACAACTACTTGTCCGCAAAATGGCTTCCGCAAGGACAGCGCGTTTTGTTTGCGCATGGTGCTCCGAGATTGGAGGTGTGCTGAGGGCTGTTTGGGATGCACGCTCTCCTTGTGGTTCTGCGCAAGCGTGGCAAACGGAACGCACGTGTGTCGAGCGGGAGCGACTGTTCAACAGCAAAGCCAACTATCAAGTTGCCGGGCAGGAGCGAGCTGTGAGGCGCGTGTCCGCAATGTGTAGTTGTTTCTTGCGCGTTGCAGTCTTGAGGAGCGGTCTGAACGATATCCTGAACGATGCTCAAACGCTGTCCGGAAAACGTCTTTGACGTCTTTGGTTCATTTGGTTGGCCAGCGTGCGGGTCCTGCTCTATCTCCCTCTTGCGAAAGGCTTGCCTGTTGCCTCCCTGCTTTCCTTCCCCTGCCTTCCTACTCTTCTTGTTGGCTCTCAGCCTCGCGATGCTTGAAACGACGAACAAAGTAGCGAAATGGCTGCAGCTATGTAGTTCCAATCGCGCCTCATATGTGCATATATACATATTTAAGGGTTGCCACCCTGTGCCGCCGACACCCAGTCATGGGCATTGCCAAGGATGTCTCACGTCCCTTTTGATTTCTATATGATAAGATATGAGGTGATGCTAGATGATGATAAAGATGATGACTAGGATGACAACTATCATTGTAGCATCCTTGGCATCACTAACGGCTGTGATGACAACTATCATCGTAACATCTTCTGCATCAGCAACGCTGCCGAATAAGAGATGATGGTGACCAGGATGATAATTATGATAAGGACAAGAGAATAAGAAAGAGATGATGAGGACCATCATGATGATGATGAGAAGGATGATGATGATGATGACGATGATGCAGCCCAAAACAAAGTCTCCCACACCTCAAATCAAAAAAAAGTATTAATTTGAGGTGCTCTCCCTGACAAAAAGTTCGCCAGGAAAAAGAGACAAGGATGCCACTCCCAAATCTCAAATTAACAAATACATTAATTTGAGGTGTGCTTTCCCTAACAAAAAGCTCGCTAGAAAAGAAGCGCAAGTGATGATGATGACGATGATGCAGCCCAAAACAAAGTCTCCCACACCTCAAATTAAAAAATACAAATTTGAGGTGCTCTCCCTGACAAAAAGCTCGCCAGGAAGAAGAGGCAAGGATGCCACTCCCACACCTCAAATTAAAAAATATATTAATTTGAGGTGCTTTCCCTGACAAAAAGCTCGCTAGAAAAGAAGCACAAGTGATGATGATGACGATGATGCAGCCCAAAACAAAGTCTCCCACACCTCAAATTAAACAATATTAATTTGAGGTGCTCTCCCTGACAAAAAGTTCGCCAGGAAGAAGAGACAAGGATGCCACTCCCACACCTCAAATTAAAACATATTAATTTGAGGTGCTTTCCCTGACAAAACGCTCGCTAGAAAAGAAGCACAAGTGATGATGATGACGATGATGCAGCCCAAAACAAAGTCTCCCACACCTCAAATTTGAAAAAAATATTAATTTGAGGTGCTCTCCCTGAAAAAAAAGGTCGCCAGGAAAAAGAGACAAGGATGCCACTCCCACACCTCAAATTACAAAATATTAATTTGAGGTGCTCTCCCTGACAAAAAGCTCGCCAGGAAGAAGAGACAAGGATGCCACTCCCACACCTCAAATTAAAAAAAATATTAATTTGAGGTGCTTTCCCTGACAAAAAGTTCGGCAGGAAGAAGAGACAAGGATGACACTCCCACAACTCAAATTAAAAAATAATAATTTGACGTGCTTTCCCCGAGAAAAAGCTCGCTAGAAAAGAGACACAAGGATGCCAGTGAACAATTGGGCAATGGATGACTGTCATGATAACGATCATCGTAGCATCCTCTGCATCACCAATGCTGCCTGAGAAGAGATGACGACGACCATGATGATAATGGCACAGGCGCGATGATCGTTATCATCCGCGTCATGACAACTATCATTACAACATCCTCTGCATCTCTACTTGTTCCTTGATAACTAGCATCATCGCATCCTTTGCATTGCCAAGGATGTCTAACGTCCCTTTTGATTTCTATATATTTTAAAACGTATTGGATGATGCTAGGTGATGATCAGATGATGGTAAAGATGATGAGAAGGATGGTAAGGATGATGGAGGATGATAACTATCATCGTAGCATCCTTAGCATCACTAACGGCGAATGATAACTATCATCGCAGCATCCTCTGCATCACCAATGCTGCATGATAAGAGAAGACGACGACCATGATGATAATGGCGCATGATCAGATGATGAAAAAGATGATGACAAGGATGATACCTATCATCGTAGCATCCTTAGCATCACTAACGGCTGTGATGATAACTATCATCGCAGCATCCTCTGCATCACCAGTGCTGCGTGATACGAGATGACGACAACCATGATGATAATGGCACAGGCGTGATGATCGTTATCATCCGCGTCATGACAACTCTCATCACAACATCCTCTGCATCTCTACGTGTTCCTTGATAACTATCATCATCGCATCCTTTGCATTGCCAAGGATGTCTAACGTCCCTGTTGATTTTCATATGTATATATATATTTTAAAACGTATTAGATGACGCTAGGTGATGATCAGATGATGGTAAAGATGATGAGAAGGATGGTAAAGATGATGGAGGACGAGAACTATCATCGTAGCATCCTTAGCATCACTAACGGCTGTGATGATAACTATCATCGCAGCATCCTCTGCATCACCAATGCCGTGATAAGAGATGACGACGACCATGATGACAATGGCGCATGATCAGATGATGAAAAACATGATGACAATGATGATACCTATCATCGTAGCATCCTTAGCATCACTAACGGCTGTGATGATAACTATCATCGCAGCACCCTCTGCATCACCAATGCTTCGTGATACGAGATGACGACAGCCATGATGACAATGGCGCAGGCGTGATGATCGTTACCATCCGCGTCATGACAACTCCCATCACAACAGCCTCTGCATCTCTACTTGTTCCTTGATAAGTATTATCATCGCATCCTCTGCGTTGCCAAGGATGTCTAACGTCCCTTTTGATTCCAATATATAATAAGATCTCAGATGATGCCAGGTGATGATCAGATGATGATATAGCTGATGACAAGGATGATAACTATCATCATAGCATCCTTGGCATCACTAACGGCTGTGATGACTATCATCGCAACATCCTCTGCATCACCAATGCTGCCTGATAGGAGGTGACGACGACCATGATGATAATGGCACGGGCGTGATGATCGTAATAAAATATTCGATGATGCTAGGTGGTGATCAGATGATGATATAGCTGACGAGAAGGATGATAACTATCATCGTAGCATCCTTAGCATCACTAACGGCTGTGATGAGAACTACCATTGCAGCCTTCTCTGCAGCACGAATGTTGCGTGATAAGAGATGACGACGACCATGATGATAATGGCACATGATCAGATGATGAAAGAGATGACAAGGGTGATAACTAATCGTAGCATCCTTAGCATCACTAACGGCTTTGATGATAATTATCCTCGCAGCATCCTCTGCATCACCAATGCTGCCTGATAGGAGATGACGACGACCATGATGATAATGACACGGGCGTGCTGTCGTTATCGTCCGCGTCATGGCAACTATCATCACAACATCCTCTGCATCTCTACGTGTTCCTTGAGAAGTATCATCATCGCTCCCTCTGCATTGCCAAGGATGTCTAACGCCCCTTTTGATTTCTAGATATATTTTCATAAGATATTAGATGATGCCAGGTGATGATCACATAATGACAAAGATGATGATAAAGATGATGACAAGGTTGATAACTATCATCGTAGCATCCTTAGCATCACTAGCGGCTGTGATGATAACTATCATCGCAGCATCCTCTGCATCACCAATGCTGCGTGATAAGAGATGACGACGACCATGATGACAATGGCGCAGGCGTGATGATCGTTACCATCTGCGTCATGACAACTCCCATCACAACAGCCTCTGCATCTCTACTTGTTCCTTGATAAGTATTATCATCGCATCCTCTGCGTTGCCAAGGATGTCTAACGTCCCTTTTGATTCCAATATATATTGATGCCAGGTGATGCTCAGATGATAATATAGCTGATGACAAGGATGATAACTATCAGTAGCATCCTTAGCATCACTAACGGCTGTGATGATAGCTATCATCGCAGCATCCTCTGCATCACTAACGCTGCGTGATAAGAGATGACGACGACCGTGATGTTAACGGCACGGGCATGATGACCGCTATCATCCGCGTCATGACAACTCTCATACAACATCCTCTGCATCTCTACGTGTTTCTTGATAACTATCATCATCGCATCCTCTGCGTTGCCAAGGATGTCTAACGTCCCTTTTGATTTCTATATATATTAAGGTATTAGATGATGCCAGGTGATGATCAGATGATGATAAAGATGATGACAAGGATGATAACTAGTTGTAGCATCCTTAGCATCACTAACGGCTGTGATGATAACTATCGTCGCAGCATCCTCTGCGTCACCAATGCTGCGTGATAAGCGATGACGGCGACCGTGATGACAATGGCACGGGTGTGATGATCGTTGTCATCCGCGTCGTGACAACTCTCATCACAACATCCTTTGCATCTCTACTTGTTCCTTGATAAGTATCATCATCGCATCCTCTGCATTGCCAAGGATGTCTAACGTCCCT